ACACCCAAATTCCTTCAAATTTTAGGTGGATATGGAAGAGGGGAAGGCTAGATGATGACTGAGAGTAGTAAATCGGTCCAAATTGTCGGAAAAATGGTAGAAACGTGATGGAAATAGCTGGTATACGGGTTGGGTCCGTGGGTTTTACGGGTCAAGGGGAACAGGTCCGGTTCCCCCCTTCTTTTCCTCCATTCCCTCATTGGGCCATCTTCTCTCCCGATCCCTCATGTGCACTCTTCCTCCCTTTTCTTTCGCCGCCATCACGCAGCCCCTTCTTCTTTCTTCCTTATTTATTTATTTTTTTTTCCTTTCTTTTTCTCTTAAAATTGATTGGTTACCACTCCAACATGACACACCTCGACCCGGAATGCCCACTAGGACCCCGAATCGAGGCATGCTGGCTGATACTTGGAAGGTGATAAAGCCATAAAGTGTGATAATGTATAAAATGTGAATAAATTAAAAACTAAAAGTGCCTACGTACACGAGTGCTTGGTGAGTGGGTCTGGACCCATTTCACGCGTGATACAGAGCATAAGTATAGTACAGTAAGGTAAGATAATGATTAGACCATCATAAGAAGACATGTGCACTGAAGAGTGCTATGAATCCTTGTCGATACGGAACTTTGCTGCTAGAACCTGAAGGGGTGCAAAAATAGAAAATGTGAGTGAGTGAAACAAAACTTTTCAAACCAATTTCAATTACCAAAGGCAGTAGCCCCTTGCCGTAACACCTGTATAATTTCCCAGAAATACCAGGTGTGACTATAACTCAAAACCATAACTAGAATAACAGTCTCATAGTTATGCCGTGTCAAATATCTCAACAAGAATAAGTAACCCAGGTGAAATAAATCAATATGAAATGATATGTCAACCGGATCCACCTATTGTGGCATGTACAGCTCAACCAATAACTTATCAACATGTTAGTCGGAGTCACCTTACGTGACCTATACGGTTGAATCAATAGCTCATCAACATGTTAGCCAGAGTCACCTCACATGTCTTGTACGGTTGAATTAATAGCTCATCAATCAATGCTAGCACATAAGTCGAAGTCACCTATAATGACCTGTACGACTTATCCATATCTCATCAATCAATGCTAGCACATAAGTCGAAGTCACCTATAGTGACATGTACGACTTATCCATATCTCATCAATCAATGCTAGCACATAAGTTGGAGTCACCTATAGTGACATGTACGACTTATCCATGTCTCATCAATCACTGCTAGCACATAAGTCGTAGTCACCTATAATGGCTTGTACGACTTATCCATATCTTATGAATCAATGCTAGCACATAAGTCGTAGTCACTTATAGTGACCTGTACGACTAAATCAATAGCTCATCAAATATCCCTGCACATGAGTTGGAACCACTTCTAGTGGTCTGTACGACAGGACTGGGTGTAAACAAGTATGCTCAAGTGCTACGATCACGTGAAGACTGTGCGAATAATCACGGGTCACCTACGAGTCGGAACCACCTATAATGGTTTGTACGACAGGCCTGTGCACCTACCTTGAATTCAAGGTGAGCGTAAGGTGCAGAAGGTGAACATCACATGAAGGACTGTACCCTGGCCACGGGCGGGAGCACTAACACTAGGGTGCAGGTTTATGAGCTCTAAATGCATCTAATACCGCATGTACGACTCATAGGCAACCTGTACGATAGTGTCGGAGTTGCCTAAAACATAAATGTAAGCATGTCATAACCCCATCATTTCAAATAAAATGTAATCATAACTATGCATCTCACATTTCACAACATATACTCACCTGAACATACCTATGCATTCTACGTTCACCTTCACACTTCAAAGCATTCACAATAATTATGTGCCAGTAATATACATATGGATATGCCATGATGCAATCTAAAACTCACCCATACCATAGCATCTTCAAGTATATATAAATATATATAATATGGTGTAAAATGCACAATCTATAACGCTTTACTCCCAAACTATTTATTTTCGGGAATAATTATCAGTGATAAGCCCAACTAGACACTAATTTAATTAACCATCATTACTTATGTTTCCTTACTTCATTTCCCTAATTCCTCACATATTGATTTATAACCAACATTTAACCACCAAAACCATATGGTTAAATCTCACATTTTCCACCAATATCCTTCGCATTGCTCATTTCCCCAAACAAGGCTATTGTCCCAATTAATTAGTCTCGTTTATTGTATGGCTGCATCTAACGTCTCGTTAGACTGTCTACGTACTCTAAACAGGGGTCAAGCCATTCGTAGTTTGCACTAGTCCTCTAAAGCATTCACAGAAATTATATGAAATATTCAATTTATAAACATTTGTGGAGATGTCAATCTTATACACACACACACACACACACACACACATATACACACACGATAGAAGGGAAAAGACCCACTCACCTTAGGTCCACGCTACAACTCCCTCGCACAAATATCGAGACATCATGAACTATCGTCGTCTGTGACCAATTATTAAATCACGTCTCAGAGTTCTTACCGATAGAATACATAATTTACATAAAACACATCCCTACGTAATACAATTCGGAAGATCTGCATCACGGATCTACGATCCGTTACTTCAAAGATCTACATTATGTTTCTAGAACAATGTCCTAAGGTTTCATTACGATCCAACAGTCGGATCTCTGCCAATTGCTAAAACCAAGTGACGGTCAACATTTTATTTTATGAACTTACAAATTCAATTCGGGAAGATCTGTACATCGAATTCCCGTTTTGTAAGTTTCTATGGTCCTCAAATATTACGTACTATAACGTATTAAAGTTTGGTGACGATCCAACGGTCAGATTGTCGATTCATAATGACATTTTAACGTATTGTAGAGAATTTAGGTTCCAGTGATCAATCTACATCATACGATCCTCAGGACTGAATTCCAGGCATCTAATTTATCCTAAACATAGCATTGACGATCATCTGGCCATGCACCGCCGTGAGTGGCGGTCTGCCGCCCCGACTTGCCGTAAAATTCAACTATTTCTAAAAATTCTCAAAAATTACAAAAAAGGAACATCTCAATGAGAGGAACAACTTTCATACCTGCCACGAAGTCCAAAAGTAGACAGAAGATGGTCACTTTTGCCCACGAAGCTGGCGGATACCTAAAGCTTCACAGTGTCGATTCGTTGTCTTCAGAGGTCCAACGGGGTCAAGGTTGGTTAGGTTTTGCTCCTGGGATGATGGGCTACAAAGCCTAGGTGGTGGCATCAGCCATCGCTTTGCCGTTTTGCCGAAAAAATAAAAAAGGGTAGCTGGAGCACTGTGAGAACCGTCAACTTTCGTGGCCTCAAACCGCCACATACAAAGGTTAATCAAGGTGGTTCTTGGGTGGATTTTGTAGAGGGGAATGAAAGCTTCAACATGGCGGTGGTGGCGTCGAGAAATTCCACCGGAGTTGGCTGGAATTAGCCTTGGAAGTTGGGTGGTCACTGTGGTGGCGTGCACAGGAAAGCTGGGAGTTTTCTTCCCCTTTTTTTTTTTGTTTTTCCTTCTGATTTCTGATTGGGCTGCTGCCTTTTTTCTACCTTTTATCTAAAGGAAAACTAATGAAAATGACTTGAAAACTTTGAGTTTTAATAATAAGGACAAAATAAAGGGTAAAGTGAATAGTACCAGAATTGACTTTTTAGTGTAAAAATGTGATTTTTCATTACAGTGAACAATACTGTAGGCTTTTTGTTAAAACTCCCTTTATCTAATTGGTCCTCCTTAACCAATTAACTAACTTTAAATAACCAACTTCAAATGTTCATAACTATACCGTTATAATTTGGACTCGCAAATGATTTTCGCCTAAGTGTTCGTACCACCGAGTACGACTTAAATACATTAAAAGAATAAGTCATACATTTCTCTAAACGATGGTTAACAGAAGTCAAAGTCCTTGCCTCTAGGGCATTTTCGTCAATTCCTTTGATTAAAATAAATAAAAACGTAAAATTAAAGACGGGTTGTCACACCTCAGTTAATTAAGAATATTTTATTTTTGCATGAAATCTTGAGTTCAAATTCTCACGCTTCATTGTCACTCATATAAAAATTAATAACCGTTGTTATGGGTTAATTGTAAAAGCTTAACTTCTGGTTTGACTTATGAGGGTAGGCCAGGGGACATATGGCCTCCCAAAATATAACTAGCTAGGGACTAGAATCCAAAATTGTTTATTTTATACTTACTGTTGTATCAACTTGGTGATGGTTATCCAAGACTTACACAAAACCTATTTTAAAGAATTGAAAATTTATGTTTGGCTTTTTAGCTAAAATGGTTATTAAGATTTGTATAACTCTTCACTTTGGTTCTTGAGATTTGAAATCAATAGAAGTGGTTATTGAGATTGTCCACCAGCAATCATTTTGGTCATTAGATGAAAAATTATGTTAAATAAGGATCATAATTACAAAATTATCCTCAATTTAATAAACAATAGGCCAAAATGATTGGACCAAAATTGAGGATATTTTTATCATTTTATTCCTATTTTATGGAGATTTTTTGTGGAATGATCAAAATGATTGATTGTGGACAAACTCAAAGACCAATTCTATCTATTTCAAATCTTAGGAATTAAAATGAGGAGTTATGTAAATCTCAAAGATTACTTTTAGCAAAAAAGCCTTTATGTATTGGTGCAATTTTTTGGAACTTCTTTTACAGAAAATGGAAAAGATATGAATAAGTAGGAATTCTTGTAACATGTACAAATACTACAGGTGTGGGAAGTGATGAACAAAGGAGTAGGTACTTTCAGAGCGGCGAACAAAAAATGCAGGAGTCATTTGTTTTTTTTCTAGAAAAGAATTATTTTCATTCATTTCGGCTAGATTTTTTGTTCATTTTGGCCTGCTCTCCTTCTTGCCTGTGCTTAAAGACTTTTGGGTTAAGCTACAATCTCATTGCTTTTAAAAGATTAACAAACAAATAGAAGTTGGTGATGGAAAACAAACTTGAACTGAAAACTTGTTGTATACACGTTGAAAACGAACTCTTCTACATGCTCATGAAAACAAACTCGTACAATACACATCAAAAACACTCTTTTTCCCTTGCTAATGCATGGAAAACAAACTTGTACAATACATATCGAAAACAAACCCTTTTCTCCTCTGTCTCTGAGGTTCGAAACCCGTTTACATATATAGCCGATTGAGAGGAGGTACATTATATAACCGACGCCTACCCTAATTTTCGTCAAAGAACTAAATGCACTACCATTATACCATCCACATATCACACTAATCTAATTAGCTGGCCCTTTTGTGCCTAATTCGACCGCACCAGTTCCATTGTTGCCATCGCCATGATCAACTTGGGTTTTCGTTTCGAGCATTGCATTCGCTTCTCTCCACTTGTGGAACTTGCCAAACAAGACCTCCATATCTTCTAGGGTTCTGCCTTGTGTCTCCGGGTACATCGTATAAAAGAACACCCATGCAACAGCAGCAATTCCCCCGTAAAGAAAGAAGGCCCCACCCATTGTTATGGCCTTATACAACGAAATAAACGTCATTGAGAGGACCCCACTCACCACCCTATTCATCGCCACTCCCATACTACAGCCTTGGGCACGTAGCTTCAACGGAAAGATCTCAGAGCTATAAACCCAAGTGATGGGCCCCAATCCGATAGAGAAGAGCGCGGCGTACGCTATTACCATGGTCAAGCACAGTGCAGTAGTCCACGTCATCTTAGCCCCGTGGTGCTGATCAATGATTGTAAGGCCGACACCAAGAGCTCCGAGGGAAAATATCATCCCGGCAACACTAGATAGAAGCAACGGACGCCGTCCGACCCGATCAAGCAAAAACGTGGCGACCAGGATGAAAATGGTCTTGGCTAATCCAACGGCTACAGTGCAGAGTAGCTTGTGGTCGGAGTTGGTTATCCCAGCCTTCTCAAAGACTCTTGGGCTGTACAAAACGATGGCGTCGATGCCCGAGGCCTGCTGAAAGAAATGGATACCGACGGCGCAGATTAAAATGTGACGAACTGCTGGTGTTGGATGGAGGAGCAACTCTTTCCAGACGTCTTGGCCTTTGCTACGTTTGGGGACCTGAACGACGTCGTCGGTGCAGTGCTCGGGGATTCCAGCAGCTTCTTTGATGTCCGCTAATCGAAGCAGAGACTCCTCCTTGGAGTCTGAGGTTTTGTTGAGAACACGTGTCGCGTCCCCGAGCCGTCCCTGCATGACGAGCCAGCGCGGCGACTCTGGCATGGCTAAGACGCCTAAGGCCAAAAAAACGCAGGGGACTGCGCCGATGCCGAGCATGAGCCGCCACCCCAAGTTAGTTGGGAGCTTCGAGAACGCATAGTTGGACACGTAGCCCAACAGTATCCCTACATTGACAAAGACCTAGTATGCATTCACACAAATCAAATTAGTGAAAACATAATCAATTCATAATAAAAACAAAATCAATTCATATCTGCATTCCACAATTTTTTTCTTTAACTAATAAATCATTTCAAGCTTTTCAAAAGTGATTTTCGCATCATAATTCTTTTTTTTTTCCTAAAATATTTTATTCATCTAGCATGTAACTTTCTTTAAATTTATACAATTCACATGTTAATCAAGAGTAGTGTTAGGTAGATTAAGTTTGTAGACTAAATTTGCAGTTAAATAATGTGCTCGCAATAAGAATAAGCACGTTAATTAAATAATAATTCAATTGTCAACTTACATATCATTTAGTTTACAAATTTAATTTCTTTAGTACTACTCGAAAAAATAATAAAAGTGCATGAGAGAAAAAATTACAAATAATTATTTACAAAATTTTGTTTCACAAACATTACCCAAGAAAATGAGTCATGAGAGAAAAAACATTGCAAATAACGCGTTATCCAACATTATCCTTTTATAATTATCCAAATTTTATAGTAATAAACTGTTAATTTTGTTTTCATGTGGAGGGAAAATAAAAGAAATTCATGAAAAACCACATAAAAGAAAAACTCCCGACATATCGAAATTCTTTTATTTGTATGATGTTTTTAAGAATAATGCTGCACTTACCACCTATTATTATCATCGTATGTAGCACCTTTCTATAGAAGTAGGGACCCACCAACTCATGTGAGTGCCATTTTTTTTAGAAAAATGATACAAATAAATGATAAGAGTAACATTTTTATTTCTTAAAATGTTGAAGGCATGCATGTGGTAGGTCTCACCAACATGCTGCCTGTGCTTTGGGTTGTGAACTTGTGATAAGCTCTAGTACTATGGCTGTTTCGCTTTATGGAAAATGATATAGCGGTTATGGATGCATATAAACCAACCTCTGGGAAAGATGTGAGGAACCCACGAGATGACGCCGGCGAGACCTCGGCGGTATAGACAGGAGCGATCATGAGGGCGTACCCGACGCCAATCCCAGCTATAAACCGGCCGACCATTAGAAAGACATAGTTTGTGGCGAATCCCATAAGAAGAGCTCCGGCGAAGAAAATAGCCCCGGCAAGGACTATGGTGTATCGGCGACCAATCCAGTCGGATGTTCTTCCGGCAGCGGCGGAGCCGAAGAGGGAGTAGACGTTTAGAATACCGAGTAGGATCTCAATTTGCACGTCGGAAATCTTGAGGTCCTTTTGTATGTAAATTGCAGCTCCACTCATCACACCAATGTCTATAGATATATAAAACCAACATCATCACATGCAAAAATATAACTTTTGGAATATTAATGACAACGAATTGTTGCAATAAATTAAGAATTTTTTTCTCGCAACTCAATTTTTATATTTATCGTGTATTTTTATCATTAAAGCAAAAGTGTATACGACTACTTTGGAGGGTTAATAATAATTAAAAACAAATCTAAGGAAGCAAAATTTGAAGTATATATACTTACCATAACCCAGCAAGATTGAAGTCATGGAAGCCAAAATGGCACAACCAAAGGCGTACTTATTTCTTTTGGGTTTCTTTGGGGGATCAAAGTCTGAGAGGCCTCTGCTCCCGGTTTGTTGGCTGAAGACGGCATTATCTTCAGCTCTCCGGCCGGCCATCTTCTCAGAGAAAAGAGATGTGGAGGGGAAAAATGGAGCCTAATATTTGCAGAGATGTAATTTAGGGAGGGAGAGAGAGAGAGAGAGAGAGAGAGAGAGAGAGAGAGAGAGAGACTTAAGTGGATATTAGATGTTTTGAGAACTTGAGGTGAAGAGGGCTTAAATAGACATTAAAAAAGCTAACGTCATTTTAATAGCATAAATAGATTCGTGAGTCACAACTCCTCTACTAGCCACTCTGCATATCTCTCTCTCTCTCTCTCTCTCTCTCTCTCTCTCCACCAGTTCTTCCATCCCTCTAACATATTCGTCAAACCTAACGACAAAAAAATAAATGAGTAACAGTGTTTCTCTCGTTTTCTTTTTCTACGTGGGGCGATGACCAGCCGACTCTTTCTTTGAAGATAACGTACTCATTTTGGATAGGAAAAAGACTTGCTGATGAAAGATTCAGCAGCATCTTCTGCTGTCTATCAATCACGGTTGGACACGTGTCCAAATTGATAAAAAAATTCATAATTTGGATACGTGTTCAACCGTGATTGGTTGGTAGCAGGAGATGTTGCTGAATCTTCAGTAGCCAAATCTCGTTTTTTTGGATAAGAGAATTTACATATTTTACAGTAGCCTCAATTTTGAAATATTTTTAATTGTGTGAAAGTAGAAAAATAGGAAACTCATTCATTCATTTAAATGAATACAATGTCAAGCCTTTTAACTATTAAAGTGATTGGTGTAAGAAAAATGAAGTGAGACATTCACCGTCATCATGCTTGAGGTCAAACACTCCAAGCCTTCGGATTGGTAGAGCATATTCCACCTCTAATAGGTGTGTAGCAAATTATAAATTGTAGTTTCTCAAGTTTATTTAGTAAAAATAGAAAAAAAAGAATCGCTATAATATAAGTTATATACAAACTCAAATATCGAATGAGTTCTATTTACACCTGCAACACAAACATATACTATTATTGATACAGTCGTTAAAATAGGTGAATTCCAACCAGTTCTCCTATAATTTATCTTCTGAATTCGGGCAACAACATAAATCGATGACATTTAAAAGCTTTTGTGGGTTACAACGAACTGTCAGACAGAAAGAATAATGTTTTCCCAGCTCCTCTTTGTGCCACAAACTCATTGGTAACCTCACTCATCTCAATCCCTCTCAATATAGTCTCTAAAGGAGTTCCTAATACACCCAAAAAACTCTCTCACTCTCACAATTTCTCTCTCACTCGGTATAGCCCAATATAAATCTTAATCAATTAGTCACACTCAAAAAGACGAAGGCAACCAAGGCCCACTAGGGCAGCTGCCCAAAAAATATGATGCTTACATAAAGGGGTAGAACATATTATTCATGCTCATTCGAATGAATATAAAGTAAAAGATATATATAACTTGAATTTATTATATTTAAACTTTAATTGATCAATTGAAATTTTTAAATAATATGTATAATGATAAGCGATGTGAAAAAATGCCTACAAGTTGGCTTAATGAAATTTAAGGAAATAAAAAAAGGAATGAAATTATAGAAAATATTATATTATCATAAATTTTCTCAAGTAGAGGAGGATCAAGCAATAGATCAACTTGGAAAAAAGATCAACTTGGAAAAAAGAGGAGGATCAAGCAATAGATCTGACGGATCTGACCAGAGAAAAGAAACAACATCCGTTGACATGATCGAGGTCCAAAGAATGATCGATTTAGCCTTGGAAAATAGGCCCAAGTTTCCAAAATTCATCCATCTATACCCAACTTATGTAGAGAAGTTCGAATATCCTAAAGGCTTTAAGATCCCAGATTTCAGCCTTTTTGATGAAGAATCGTCCTTATCCTCGTCAGAACATGTAGCTCGATTCATTGCACAATGCAGAGATGTTAATAGTGACTTCCATAAACTACGACTATTCAACTTCTCGTTGGCAGGCCCAAAAATTCAGCATTCGCGTGGTACATCAACCTCCCACCTAACTCAATCCAAAGTTGGGAAGAACTGGTCGAAAAATTCCATGAGCAATTTTATCGGCCAGGGATGGAAATGTCAGTTTCTTCATTAGCCAAGATGGATCAAGTATTTGATGAGTCATCGATGGATTATCTTATAAGGTTTGAATTGGCCAAAAAATGGTGCCTAGTACAATTCCCTGAAGTCAAATTTGTTAGGCTCACTATGAATGGGTTGGACATGGAGTACAAGAAGAAATTCCTAAGGGCAAACTTTCGTGACATGTACGAACTAGCTCAACATGTCGAGCAATATGATTATTTACTCCGAGAAGAGGAGGCTTCGAAGTCCCTGTCCAGATGAACAATTTACAAAAACCCCACGGTCAATTATGTGTCAGCCTAAGCTGAAAAATATGCCAGTATAGATGCGGCCGAAATAATAATCGACAAATCATATATATGCAAGGCGTTGGCTTATGCCAATCCCAAAGAGGCCAAGACTCGCTCAGCCCCTAAAAAGTCTCTCGTCAAAACAGTGAAAGTTTATACTTTCGACATTACTAAAGCCGACGCCATCTTCAATCAACTGCTACTTGCCAACATTATCAAACTTCAACCTGGCATAATATCCCCAAAGCCGAAGAATTGAAAGGAAAGACATATTGCAAATACCATAACTCGAACAAGCATAGGACAAACAACTGCATCGTGTTTCGAGACGCCATCTAAAGCTGGATTGACAATGGTAAACTCATGTTTCCAGAAAAGAAAATAGGCATCGACATCGACCCATTTCTTACGGCGACCATAAACGTGGTTAATGTTCATCGGCCTAAAGACAAAGGAAAAAGAAAGGCCGAGTTCATTCTAATGCAACAAGTGCTAAAGCAGAACTCTCGACCACGACTCAAGATTGATTTATTTTCAAACGAGCCGCCTAGAGATTTTTCAGGACCAGCTGTCGTCGAGCCTATGTTAGACTCTAGCGCACAAGAAGCGGATGGGCCGGTGATTTTATGCAATATGTTTAAGGCAAATGTCATCTTCACCGAGCTAAAAGAGAAACTACCTCAGGCTATAATACAATGGCCGCCTCCTGTGGTCTCAACGACACCTCAAAAGGTGCTCGCGACAGGACAACGCCAGAGAGTTTTTGATAGGCTTGGCCCTCAGACACGGATCGATGAGCAATCTTCAGCCAGACGGCACCTTGATTTCAATACACCGTTTTATAACGAGGACTATTATGCACGTAACTTTAGCAGCTCGAGTTCTTCCATGAGCCAAAACACATTCAAGCTGCCAGAGTCACGCGACCAACGATGGTATAGTTACAATTCTCCTACTGACGTATATACCGCACTCTCAAATCGCAGAAACGCTGGCTCTAGCGAATAGACAACATGGCCCATCGACAAGCGGCTCAGGTTACCTTGGCTACCAAATGGTAGTCGAAAGAAATAATAGATAACGAAGATGATCGATAGCCCCCAGCAATCTTGGCCGAATTACTTCACGGAAAGAAGGCGATTAATCACAATTTTGTGACCACGATAGAAGAGTTTGAGAAGCGCATTAAACTCATTCTCCGGCTTAGGGAAATGAAGGCTCGTTTCAAACATCTCAAGAATGAAGCGGAAAACAAACTTCCTCTATTGCCTTCACAAGACCCATTAATAAAGGTCCGACCAAATCTACACCCCATATTTCTCGACAAAGCCTTAGAGTACATGCGGGAATTTCACGAGAAATATTTTGCTAATGACCTATATAGCTTACCAAAGGCGTGTCAAGAGGTTCTCGACCTGGCACTAACTTGCCCTGATGCCGAGCAGATTATTCAAAAGATTACTGATCTGAGAATGAAGGGCAGGTTCCTACATATACGAGAAGCTCGAGTTCTCAGCTTCGAGTTCGACCCATATACTAATATAGATACTACCAAGCTTCCTTTCTCCCTCGAAGACCTCCAATATTTACGATACCATATTGAAGTTTTCTCAGCCGTGCCTCTTTTCAGCCTGACAGCCGATGAGAAAGAGCGCGTGGCACGGCTAGATGCTTACCTAGACACGAAGGATGCTCGAATTACCTATTAGGAGCATGCCCATAAGGCTTCGTAAGGACGAGACCGGTCTCTAACGTTGAGCGAACTTGGGGATAGCAATCAGAATGAAATGGGAATGCTGAATGCACCACAGGAACAATTACTTGAAAAGAAAAATGATCAGGTTGAGGACATTTCAAAACATGACACTTTGCTCAATAGTCCGGAAGACGATAACCATTACCCAATTTCTTAGATGGTGATATGGTTGCCGAAGAAGTAACGCAAGTCGACTTCGTCATCATGGAGGAGAACGAACAAGTAAGTAAAGAGGACATACTCAAAGCAGCTTTTGTTGAGTTGTTTCCCTATGTTTCCTCAACCAATCCCCATCATTTAAAGTCGTTGTATGTCACAGCTCACGTCGAATGATATCCAGTTTCCAAAATCTTCGTCGACTGCGAAGCAACGGTTAATATCATGCCCGTCTCCATCATGAAAGCACTACGTCGCTCTAACGATGAACTTATCCCATCAAGAGTCACCATGAGTAGCTTCATCGGAGACAAATCCTATACCAAGGGGGTACTTCCGTTAGAAGCAATATCGCAAGTCGAAATCACATGACTGCATTCTTTATTGTCGACTCAAAGACTGAACATAATGTGTTGCTTAGTCAAGATTGGATCCATCAAACAAGCTATATCCCTTCATCGTTGTATCAAGTCCTCATATTATGGGATGGCAAATCGATCATGGTTCATCCGACCGATAGTCAACCATTCAAAGCTAACATGATCCAAGTACGTTACTACGACGACCACGTCGGCTACATCACCTTGTATGGTCTCAAAGATGAATGATGGCCGACTCGAATTTCGGTTCAAAAAACCCTTGAGGTTGTCGCCAAGACTATTCAACAGGATTTGGTGAGACTCGGATTGGCTGACCTCATTACCGATCCCGATGTCTGATACCAAACATGCTGAATGCCGAGCCACGATTTCATCTACTATGGAATGATTGCTGGCCCATTGGTATACTACTTCCAAACAGCCGAATTCGAGCGTAAACTCGTGGACTTTCTCGTCGAAGAAAATAATGGTCCCGTTCTATCCCTTGATAAAGTTCAAGC